TTTTATGTATTTGGTTTTGAAACAAAAAAGAAGAAAAAATAATTGGATGCTTAATTTTTACAATCTATATTTCACACATAACATTCCATATTCTTTGGAGAAAAAAACAATATTTTGTGTGAGGTACTCAAATTTAAGATTAGTCATGGCTATCTAGATTTCCATTATCAACTTTGAAGAGAGCACTTTGATTTCTTGAAGTATCTATTCCATACTGAAGTTTTAAAGTACAGTGTAATACATGAAAGCATATCGAAAATATTAACATTGTTTATCAATATTGTGTTTAAAGCAGCTTAGCTATTTCTTATAATAATCCTATTTTAAAACAATGCAGGATGATATTGATATACAGTTAGGTTTTTATGCATATTTTGTATTTACTCATTCTCTAAAAATCAAACAATTGAATGTTTATTACAATCAACAATAAGACAGTATATTGGTGGAAAACAATTTCTTTAAGTATTTACTTCAACCATATACTTTCTATTTAATAAAAATTAAGTTGTTACATGTCTGTAATTTAAATATTCGTAAAGTACATAGCAACTTCAATGGTGTAACTTATAGTATAATTGAAATTACAAGTGGTCCAGAAAAATTATCATAATTATGTTATTAAACTATAAACTTAAGTTACAGTTTAAATGCCAAAAGCTGGTGAACTATTGGAAACAATAGGTCTAAGAACTGTTATAAAAATCAAGTTAACTGCAGATGTTTTTTCCCATATTTCTCTTAATTTGTCTTTACGAATCCAAATTAAAGGTGTGTAAAAATAGCATTTCAGATTTGTCTTTTGTCTCCTACAAATCACTGTTTAGGGAGCTTCTCAATACCAGAACTCATCAATTAGGTTGAATGATGAGAGATAAGTGACTCTGTAAAACTGTTTATATATGCATATAATACTTGTACATATTACAGTTTAAGTGTTGAACTATCAAAAACCAATAGGCCTAAGAATTGTTATAAAAATCACATCAGCTGCAGGTTCTTTTTCCACATTTCTCTTGATTTATCCATTGCAGCTCAAAATCAGAGGTGTGCAAAAATATTACACACCACTAGATGTATTTCTGTAAGAAGGAAATAAACAAAATGTGATATAAAATTAGATTACCTAAACGTAGTTTTGTTTGTTCTTGCCTTTTGCACCTGAATGAGATGATACTTTTTGACTTAAATTTGTTGGTAAACCAGGTACTAAGATGACTTCGTCACGGATTTTTATTTGAGAGAGAATTATTACTGTGTTGCTTTTCTTCTACATGTTACTGTCATTGATGAGTCAGTGGTTAATTTTTGGACTTCTGGTGCTAAATTTTTGGGTTATATTCTCTTTAATGGACAGATCTTAGATAGTCTATTGTGTGGCTTTAAGTTAAAACAAACAAACAACACATAGATCTCTAGCCATGACATGAAAAACCTTCCATTAACCTTGTTCATTTCTGACATTTTGACACATGTACCGAGTTCAGTTTCTATCTTAAAGTTTTTTAGTCTTTCTCATCAGTACTGTCAGTATGGCCTTTCCTAAAACATACTTAATCTTGGAGATTGTTCATTCTTACAACCTGGGATTGTACAGCCATACTATTTCACTTGTATGGAATCCAGTCTTATCAACATCATAGTGACTTTTCATTTTATCACTAGATGACTGAAGCCCTTCCCAGATAAAGTCAATGTAAAATCTTTATTATTCAGATTCATGAGAGGTTTTTCAACTATAAATCCCCCAGGACATGTCATAGTGTTTGGTTTCACTATGCTGGTTACCATATGTTCGTTTTTTACTAATACCTTCTGGTATGAGTATTTCACTTCTAGGTAGTACAATGACCACCCTCCCTGTTGTCATTGGAAGTTCAACCTATAGTGTAGTAATTATCATGTAGGGCACAGGAATTTCCTGGTCATATACTGTGAAGCTGTTTCAAGCTAGATTAACCTCGTGTACACGTATCCACATGAAGTTAGTTACCATTATGCATTGTTCCTCAATGTCAATTATTCACACATCATGAGACCAAGAAAAAAAAATACTATAGTAAGAGAAACTTCTAACTCTCCTCTTGCTGGAACATTCTGTCAACTTGCTGTTTGCATCAATCCATCTTTCTTCATCGTCACTAGAGGCAATTTCCCGCCTTTCATTATCAAATCAGGTCAAACTGTTGTAGATGCAGAACTAGCATTGATCAACATACTGCAAGGCTTCCCATCAATAAACCCATTGACTCGTGGAGTGGTTTAAATAATGAATTTCTTGTATCATTTGGGGTAGATGGAATATTTGCAGCTCAACTTTGCTCCATAATATAAGCTAATTTCTCTTTAATCAATGTCTGGTTGCCATTTTATTGTTCCTTTGATCTGGCTGGGCTCAGAGATTCTTCCTTAGGGTATAATCTCTTTGGCTGTAATGGTCAGGTTTCCCACATCTATAACAGTTCACTCTTTCTGTTATTCTTTGAGAAGAGTTCTTATTTCATATACACTCTTTTCTGCAGTTATGGGTAATATGTCCTTTCAAGTTACACTTGAAATATCTATTGTTTTGTGGTTTATTTCCTCCACTCTCTGTAACTAGTTGCCTAACTAATCCTATCAATTCTTCTAGACTGTTATAAGGAGGAAGGATTGATGTTTCATACTTGATCTGATGATCTTGTAACTTCTAGATGGTGCATTTAATTGTTTATCTACAACTTTGATAGATTCAAGTTCCATTACCAACTGGAGAACTTCCTTTAAAAAAAGGTGCACCTACCTTGCTTCACCCTAATTCTTATATCCTCATTTGTTATGACATCTATAAGTTGGGCATGTGGCAACAAATCCATAATTTTCTGAGGAGCAAGCCTTTCCAGATTTTCTGCAAGTTTGGCTGTGGTCTCTTCTTTCTTTTGTACACACTTTCTCACTCCAAACCTTTTGGATAAGGCAGCTACCAATGCTTAATAGTTGTTATGGTTTTCAACTAGAAGGTTATTTAATTTCTTTAAAGCTGATCCATTTAAATGGGCAGCAAGATGACCAGCTTGTTGTTCACTATTTCATCTGTTCACTTTGGAAATTATTTCAAACTGAGCCTGATATGTCTCTCATGGTACCTTTCCATCATAGTCCATTGGTTTCTCAATTCAGTGATGCTGTTGTATTGACCAGCTAAACTGTGGAACTGGATTTGGTAGTGACATGGCTGTAATAGTCCAAAAGGGTCCTGCAGTAACAGATGACACAACAGCAATGGTAATAGGAGTAGACCAAATAGGTTCTCCTATTTCATATTTAATAGTAAATGGTGTCTTAGTTTGGAATTTGTGGGCAGATGCAGAAATAAGTACAGTTAGTTTGATTTTTACTTTTACCAGTTTTTTTAAATGTATTATTTTGCCACTGATGTTCTTTTCTTGCCATTATAATCATCCTGTACTTTTTCAGTTTTGTTATTTCAGCCCTTTTGTACTTTGTGTATGTCCTTATATGCTTTTTCAATCTTCTTCTTATATTCCTTCTTTACATCTCCAGTAGCTCCATTGATCTTATCTTCAGTTAGATTTATTTTGTTCTCCATTTGTCTTTAAATACTTTTTTCTTACTCTTCTGTAAAATTCCTCTCTTACCTTTTGCTCTTTTAATTTTATTTCTCTTTCATTTTCTTTTGATTTTCTATAAATTTCTTTTTGGCCTTCTTTTATTTTTTATTTTTTCTTGGTCTTCTTTTAATCTTTAGTCCCATTCTTCTAATTTTCTGTCTTTTCCTTCATGGACTACTTTTAATTGTTTAATCATCTGGTAAAGTTTTAGTCTCAGTTTGTGACTGGATTGTCATGTTGAAATTTAGTCAAAGATCTATTTTATTTTCACCAAAATAATCCCACTTCTGACACAAATCTTTTTAGCGTGTTTTATCATTGTGCAAGTTCTTTGGAATTATTTGGTGAAAATAATACAAAGTCTGGTCCACATAATGATAAATTAATTATTTCTTTCATAACATTTACCACATTATCTTGGATACAAATTGCTGGCCTAAGTTTACAGATAATGTTTCAAAAGAATACCCCGCTAATGGTACTTGCACATTACTGAGTTAGTTTTGATCGATAAACATACACGTAACTCACTGAATAACTGAACAATAGAATAGATGCAATAACTCCTACAATCTAACACTAAACTTAACACTCAGTGAATACTCATTCACTTCACCAATTGTTTACTAGTATTTATAACTAATGTGCTCTTATCTGTAAATATTAGATGAATTTTCTCATTTATTACATCATCATGGTTTGCAGCTCTCTCTATCAAATAACTAAATTAAATCATTGAAAATATATCTTACAATAGTAAATTTTTGGGAAGAAGCATATTTTTTAAAAATTATTTGTGAATAATTTTTTATTACATATATTTTTATGTTACAGTAGTATCTCCCACCCTGATCATTAGTAGTCAACTGAAAAAAAGGTAAAGGAGAAAAAGTACAGTATAAATTCCTGCTGTGTCTTGGCTTTTCTGATGTATTTATTAGAACTTGAGAGGAAAAGTAAAAAAGAATGATATAATATGTCACCCACACTATATCTATTGTATCATGAAATGATTAGGCCTTTAACCAAAAAACCAGGTCTTATCAAGCCAGCCGAGATACAGACAAATTAGTGATTGAGGCCCTATTTAGGTCATCAACTGTTCGAACAACAACTGTTTTGGTGTGAACTAGGTTATGTTGGTTTGTAATTTTTATCAACTTATAAGTAATTTGATTTATGAATTTTCATTAACATCAAATTGTTTATTTATTTTTAACATTAAATTATTCATTATTAAGTTAAGTTGTGCTTTAAACAGATAAATATTCTAATTGAACTCTGTTTTATTTTTTGAAAAAGTTGTCAAAACTTGTTATACTTGATCACTCACTAGTTTATTACTTTTACCCTTAATTAGTTACCACATAATTAAATACTAATTTTGAATTATTTTTCAAAAGACCAGCTTTATTGTCATTTTTGCATCCAAACTTACAGTGCCACAGGAAATGGAAATAGAATAATGTGTGGTTACTACACATGGCATTCATACAGCTTTCTTTAGGTACACAAGACTGACATTGACATACCACTAAGTGGAAAAATGAGAAGATGGTACAACACTACATGTGAATGTGTACAAAGGGTAGCTTTAAATAACGTCACATTTGACTTTTTTAAACAGACTAATACTTAATCATCTATAATGTTGAATACACTTAAACTTCAACAGTAAACATCACTATGTCACTTCTAGCATTTACATAACTACTTCAGTGACACCTAGCCAACATTTTTTTCCTTATAAAAGAAAAAGGAAATAAAAATAAAAAGATTGGCACGTGTAAATCTAACTTTCAGGTGCTTTTTTTTTAGAAATATTTTATGAATTGTACACATGTAGTTAACATATTTCAGTTGTCTGTAGATTTTAAATTATCACTTATTACAAGAATACATCTTGGAAAACATGAAGTTTTTAAGTATATCAGTACTTTCAGAAATAGCCAGCTCTGTAGTAGAGAGAGAGGGGAAAAAATACAAACACTTATTAACCTATACCAAATGCATTCATTAGTGCTACTTAAGTAGATTGAAAACTGGCTTTACTAATAATACATTTGCTTTTATAAGAAACTATATTGTATCATATTTGGGTAATTATTACTAAGCAAGTTATTGTTGGTGAGAACAATATTTTAACAGTTTATACAAATATAATTGTAATACAATAGTGTTCCATTTATCTGTTAGGTCACTGATGTATACCAGATGATTCCTTAGTCTGATATCTGGCTTCAAGTGAGATTATCAAAACTCAAGTGCATTCTGAAGTCAGAATTTGTTGCAGATGCAATAAACAAAGTTATTCTTAAAATTTATTTTGCATACTCATGAACACATTGATAGATATTATATGTGCACTTTGAGTTTTTTTTTTAACAGACCTACTTTACAGCCAGGTTACTAGATTTAACATTACTGCCTATGGTTTAAAAAGGTGTGGTGTGATAACATGAAATGCATGAACATATGTTGTATACTTAACTGGTAAAACCTTCCAATGTTTCTCCCTGGAATCTTATTTTGTCCTTATTGAAAGGTTGAGTAATTTATGTAAATTTTAATTTATATTTGGACTGATTAAAACATATACTTGTATGTTGGGCAGTTTAGGACATTTCAATTTCACAAGAATAAGTAAGAAGACAAAACAAAATATACAACTATAAATCTTTTTCTTATTTCTCGATGTAAAGGCCACAGAAAGAGGTTAGTAAATTGGAAAAAAATTCAGCCTATTGGCTTAAATATAATAATTGAATTTGTGCTACTTAACCTGAAAGTTCTTTTCTTATATGTCATAACCTTTTTCATTGACTTGCATTGTTCAAATACTTCTTGCATTAATATAGTTAAAAGAACTATAACACATTTATTCTAGCTTTGCAAAATGTCAAAATTTTTGTCTGTGGTAAAAGCTGCATCTGTTGTACACACATACAAAAAGTTGTTCACTATTATTTGATTATTCTAAACATTTTGTACAAATAAGTACTATGGATTTGTTAATGGACATAACACAAGTTAGAGAATAAAATGTATAAGTGTGGTGTAACCATTATTTTCTCATAACAATTAACCATATAATGTTTTTTTATACTACATACTTATGTAAGAAAGAATTGCAGAAGGATTTTTTTTTCACATCATTAATAACTTTTTTAAATTCCAAATTAATAATACACATGTGTTTGTAGGAGTCTACTACTATAATTCAGTTGGCAAAGCAATTTTTAAACTTTCTTTTGGAGAAAAAAAAACAATGGGCATGTTCTATGAAAAATTACATATATATATTTGTAATTTTATGGATGAAATTTATAGCAACCTACACTGTCTTTTATTTTAAATTCCAGTTCAGAAGAGTATTTTAAAATATGAAGATTTTAATGAATAAAATTTCCTGAAACAGTTTTTGGTGTATCACATCAGTAATTACTTTGGCTTCAGAATATTCCCAGATTCCAACACACATACATACAATAGATGATCATAACTTTGCACAAGCTATATATATACTACACATACAGAAAAAGCAACGTTGGGACCTAGTATCTGCCCTCGGAGAGCTCATGAAACATGCCCTTAAAAACAATCATGATATACCAAGAACTACAGTTAGCTTTCCAAAATAGTAACACCTTATAGATCTGTTTACCTGTTGAGTGTATTGTGACCACTGCTTTAACTATAGCAGAAAATCTCACAAATAACACATATGACTGACACAGTTGAAGCAAATGTTTTATCGCACACAACAAATATCCCACTATGAAATTGATAAAAGTGGTAGCCACTTCAAAACATTTACAAGCTGTTTGGTTGTTTTATCTGGAATGTACATGTAGTTATAGATATACAAATGGCACAAGCTAGCACACACTTTTATTAAGGTCAATCCTATTGAAACAAGTTCTGTTACTATTTCATTCAATACATGGATTTAAAAATAAAATCTTTTACCTAATATAGAAGCGTGATAATAATTCTTTTAATCCATGTAATGGTTACTAAAACCTAAACAGATTATGTCTGGTTTAAAATTTTTAAGTTTTTTTTTCTCTCACTAAAACATGATTCAACTAACAAAAGTGGACTTTTAATTCTTGTATATATTTATCTCACAACTGAAACAAAACTGCCTTGAATGACAAAAAAAAATACTGTACAGTATTTTTACAGATTAAAAATCACCGACTAGAATTTTTCTCTTTGAAGAAATAAAGAATTAAAAACGTGTTATAACAATTTGTACAGCAATACTCATAAAATACTGATGAGAAAGTATATAACCTGAGCTACAAAAATCCAAGAAAAAATTGCTGGGTTTTATAGGTATTCTACAATTAGAATATCCAATTTATGGCTTAAAAAATAAGCTAAGTAGTTAATTATAACTGGGTGACCTGTTGTTTTAAACTAATTTAATTCATTATAGAAAGCACAATTTATTGATTATGTCAATTACTATTAAGTATGCTTCTGAATGTGACCAAAATCATGAATGCCTGAAAGTACTTACTCTGAATTACTATTTTATCTTGTTTAAAGAGTTAGTTTAAGAATATTTGACTAACTTGTATTTAAGAATTTCTTACTAGATGAAGTGGATAGGCAGGCCACAATATTATATGTAAGTAGTTAAACAGTGTATCTTAATTTAACTGAGCAAACATAAAAACTAGCCTCCCATAAGAAGAAAAAACTTAGGGTGATTTCACCCAAACCATCATTCGAGGATGGACAATGCTTCCAATCTCACAATTCACAGTTCTTGTTTTACCATTTACTACAAAGATTGCTTCATTGGCTGTGGTCACCATATAAGTGCCAAAGATTCCTGCACTGGACATTGGCCGGTTTGTGTTTTTCCATTCTGCTACCTCTGGTTCCATTGCTCGCCCAATTCCAGTAATCATTTCCACCTTCCCATTTGCAAGGTCAACAAAGAGAATGTCTTCTTTATTGGAAGAGCTGGCATACAGATCATAACTGTGAGTTGTGCGAGAGGGAAAGTAAGTAATGTCGCTGATTTGCAGAGTTGTTTTCACATCAAAGAGAAACTGTAGGCCTAAAAAGAAATTGCAGATTTATAGATATGCACTTCAGTTTCCTGAAAAAAAAATCTGTACTGCATGTGAATTTAAATAAATTTAAAGTATAGATTGTTTTTTAGATCTTTTTTTATTTTTCCTTTGAATTTAATAAATGTTTAATAGTTTACATTGCCTATTTCATACATATATATGATTATAGTTTTAATGAAAGGCCTTATTTCCTAACCCTGAATAAAATCATTCTGTAAGCGTTTGAAAATATCAAATGTAATATGGTATAGTTTGTTACTACTGAAGGCACACACACAAATAAATATGACAAATATAACAGTTCACTTTCAATTAAAAAGAGTGCCTCTTCAGAAACAGGGCACACGGTGACAATGTTTTTTTCCAATTTGGTAGATTAAAATTAATTTCAGTTAATTTAACTGAAGAGAAAAAAAATTCTGACCCACTATATCCTACATGGTATGAAACTGCTGTACACTGCCCATTGCCAATAGTGGACACTATCATATCCCAAAGAAACACTACACAAAAAATTTAACAGAACAGTTTAACAAGTATGGAGTATGTATATATATATACCTTTAACATGTGTAATTTTAAAACAATACAATTATCTATTAGTCCTCCTTAACAAATACAAAAATTATTAATTAATTTGCAGTATACTACAAAACAAAAAATAATTGCCTTACATTTTTAAAATCATTAATTTATTTTCATAATAGAATAATTTTTAAGCTTTTCATACCTATTTGTGGTTAAAATTATGAAGCAAAAATCAGAGTCGCAAGGTTATCAGTAATCAAAACTACTTTTAAAAGAATATACACTCTGAAATACTACAATTGTGAAATCACTTTGTGTAATTATGTAAAATTGAATAAGCTAAAGTACAGAGGTTGAGAGTATGTTAAATTATAATGATTTTGGAGCCTTGCAATGTCATTACAGACCATGTTACTATATCCTGTCATGCTTTATCTGATGACTGTGCATCTTGACAATAGCCCTGTAATGAAATTCCCATTGAAAAGGTTATGTTGTAAGACTCATGGTCAAAGCACATTACTACTTCCTGTTTGCTTTCCAAAATCCATCTAGTGTATGCAGAAATGGTTTCCAGTGCCAGTTCCAACAGACCAATTACACAGGAATCCATAGGTGCAGCACCAGGAGACTTATTAACATTGTCATCATATGGAATAACATAAATACTCATTTCATGCTCCAGCTGCTTGAGGTATGTAACTGTTGAACAGGTATGTCTTGGAAGCAAGTTGTGTAAATTTTCCAGACAGAAATCCTTTTTAATTATGTTGCATACGGTTGCCTTGTAACAAGGAAAACTTTTGCTAGTGTTTTCTCCATGTTCATAGATTCTTATTCGTTATGCTTACTACAGCTGGGATATGACTTGTTGCAAGTCTCTTTCTGGATGATGGTTTGAATGGGTAGTGAAAGAAAGTTTATTACACAACATTTCAACAAGTTTTTGTCATTATTAAAACCTGACAAAATGTACATTTGTAATGAAGTTTCTTTCACTACCTATTCAAGCCATCACCAAATTTTATTTTCTAAAAAGTGAGTTCCTTCTTATCAAATTTGAATCATTGTCTTGGATTTTATAAATCCTTGATCTTAACACATTTTTATGATCTGAGTGTATGATTACTTTGCATCGGAAAAGACTGTTATATGTCCTTCCAAAACGTGATCACCTTTCTGTGGCAATCACACTACCTACCAAATGCCAAACAATGTCAAAATGTAGTTCTGATAAATATAAATATATTCCACTGCAACTTTATATTGGCTGTAGTTGTCACATGGCATGCTGATTTGCATAATCAAAATTGTTTCATATAAAGTACCCATTCTTCTGTATTAATGAGAAGAAACAAACTATTAATTAGGAATGGAAATTCTTTTCTCGTGAGAAATGAGACTTAGAACTACAGATTCATTATTAAGTGCAATAGCCACATCTAAATAATGTACAAAATTTGAATGAATGTACTTTTAAATCACTATTATATATGAAAGTTTATTTAAATCCTGGAAGTGGTAGTTAAAAAAATTGGTACTAATAACAAATTTTCCCTTCATACTTTTTCCTGTAATTAAATTGCTTGTATAAAAATTCATCAAGGAGTTGATGCAAAATAGTAATCAAACCACTTGAGAGCTTTATGTATACGCAGTTGTTAAAGTATATGTTTGTATGTACACATTTATCATATCAGTATTGTGGAATCTTGAATAAAGCTTCACCTTTGCACTTAAATTTAATTGTTGGACTTACAAATGCTCATTATAATTTGATTTTAGTAATTCATTACTCTTTAGATGCAGTCACAATATGTGGAAGTACACACCTGAAATTAATGGTAATGTGACTGTTTCTCCTTTGGTTCACCAAGTTACATTGTCCAGCTGATTTTGGAACATTATCCAGTGTGTGTTTATTCAGAAAGTAGTTATCAAGGTAATATTCTCATTTTTGAATGACTCAGCTACAGGGTAAAATGATTAACTTATAGGCTAGTTTTTAAAACAAATGATTACCAGGAGCTATTATCATTTATTGCTTTGTAACTTGTTTCCTACAGCTCCTACTGTGTAGGGGTACTACCTTTTACTCATTTAGACTCAACAACTTTGTCAGAGACTTGTACAACTGGTACTACATGTAAAATATAGTTCTGAATTTTTATGTGAACAGAATATATATAACTGTGAGTGGCAATAATTGTTTAAGACATTGTCATTCTCAAGCTCTTTTAATTAGTTCTTACCATTCTTTCTAGTGTTAAGTTGTAAGGTCTGAAAAAGATGACATGGAAATGAGATTGTATGTTGGTAAAGTATATTTTGCTTCAGTAAAAACTACAACGTGCTTTCTTGACATTCATAATCTAATATACTTAGACACTGGTTAAAAATAAACAAAGCTTTTGGAATAATAATCCTCCAACTATGAATCTACACATGACAGAAATGAACTGCTGAATGGACTTACAGTAACATACATCAAGTTACTCAAAGCATCAGATGTTTTTCATCAAGCAAAAGTTTGCCAAATATTAAACGTTCTTGAACAACATAAGTCAAGTTCATCAAGTAAATACACAAAAGTAAAAAAAAGCTCAGACATTTTCCCATTACTGCAGTGTACATACCTTCCTCTGTTACTTCTTGTGCAACAATTATGACACTGGAATTGGTCTTTTCTAGAGTCACAACATAACGAGAGTCTGGAGAAATGTGTGGTTGACCAAACAAATTTGTCTTGTGGGACACAACAGTATCAGTGAGGTAGTCCAAGACAAGTTGCCCTGTTGGTCGATGGGTGACAGGTTCAATACACTCCAATATAACATATCCCCCTAAAGGAAAAAACAAAAAATAGTAATTATATAGTCAGAGAAAGTTTAAAATATATATATTGAATAAATTTAAGTACAATTAAATAGATAGTCCAAATGTTTTACAAGTCTCTTTTTTTATCACAGGTTTTACCTAGAACATGAAATGCAAAGAAGTGGATTTATATTAAAATTATACATGTTGAGATATTTTTTAATGTTTTGCAGAATTTGAAGCAATAAAGTCCCTAGTTTTGATTTAGGCTGAAGTTGTACATGAAACTAAACAAAAGAATGAATTCATTATTTTCAACTTTAAAATAAAAATAAAGCAGTTTCATAGTGTTCAAAGTGATGGTGTGAAAATCAAACAGTTTATTATAACCACGTTAAAATTGTAATAACGTGCAAAAATAATGAAAGAAAAATAATGGTATAAGAGAATATTTTCATCACAATATTACATATCCTACTAATAATGTGTCAACAATAACAATACTCATGACTGTTCCTTTTCTAAACAAAAACATGAGTATTTGCAACTTACCTGTTTTTTTTTAAACTATTTTTTGTAATCGTATAAAAAAAGTGTTTGGCTAAATCAAATTGTGGGATCATTTCTTAAAATAACCAATTCCCGATTCTGTTACTGTCAGATGCTGGAAACTTATTGTTTCTTAAGAAATTATTTCAATTTTTATTTACTTATAATTTTGCTAATGTATGGGGTCATCAAGAAATTAATGTTGCGTTTTGGAACACTTTCATTAATCATCCCCCAAAAAACGTACATCGTATATAATAGTTAAACGAACTGGCTAAACATCATGTTAGTGTAGCCTATATAATGTGTAAAGTTTAGTATACTCTAATCCCTTATAGTGATGGCACACGACAAGACACACATTCGGCATGTAATGCTGTTTGAATATAAGAAGGGAAATAACGCCTCTGTATCCACAAAGAATATCAAAGAAGTTTATGGAAATGTTTTGAATGTTCATAAGTGTCAATGATAGTTAAGCAAATTTTGTTCAGGTGACTTTAGCCTTAAAACTGTGATGGCAGGGGCTGATATGTTGGAATTGATATTGATGCTCTGAAGACGCTTGTTGAGTCTAACCCAAGACAACACACTCGTGAAATGGCCCTGAATTTGCATCTCTCTCATGAAACAATACATAAACATCTAAAGAATGTTGGAAAACTCCTTTAAGAAGGTGTTTGGGTGCCTCACGAACTCTCCGATGATCATCACTTCCTCTAGCGTGTAATGCGCGTGAACCATTTTTGGACAGAATTGTCACCGGTGATGAAAATGGATTCTCTATGCGAATATTAAATGTCAAAAAGAACAGCTCAGTCCTAGACATACCCCCAAAACCTGGTCTCCATCCGCAAAAAGTGCTG